CGCGCGGGGTGGAGGAAAGGCAGTGCTCATGTCCCCCTGCTCCCTGCAGTCCGGTCCCCGTACTCACCAGCATCCCTTTGGCACCTTTCCCCACCATGGTGGCAGTGGGTTTCGGACTCTGGAGTCCCAGGGCACAGTCACAGGCTCTGCTTCTAGCACCTTTCAGGCCACAGACCTCAAGAGCTGTGGAGAGAGCACAGAGTGAGGACTGAGCCAGGCAGGCAGGGCAGGGCCTGTGTGGCCCTCAGGGCTCTCCAGAGCAGGTAGTGCAGGGCCCAGATCACCAGCTGGCAGGCCTCCCTTCCCTCCAACCCCAGCGACCTCATGCCAAGCGCTTCTCATGTTGCTCCTTTCTCGATGATCCTGAACCAGCTCCTCCCTAGCTCTTCTCCCGACCCTTCCCCTGCATCCCTTAGTCTCCGGGATTCTTGTCCCAAGGGGCAAAAGTCTATTTTTAATTCTCCAGATGCCCAATTCTATAAAAGACAAAGAACACAAAACTGGACAGGGTCCCATCCCTTCATCGTCTGTGGATGGCTTCAACCTTTTCCCCGAGAAGGGTCAGTTTGGATCAGCGCACTCAGCAGCCAGGACGGTCTTTCCTCCGCCTGATGCCACTCAGCGCGGCTCCGGGGCAGCTGGGCTTGTTGTTATGTCACTAACCGGGACCGTAAGCTCCGGACACATCACACATGCCATGTGCGGGCACGCTCCCCTGACCTTCTGCAGGCCGTCTCCTCTGCAACACCTTCCCCGCTGCTGACCAGGTGGGGTTCTTCAAATCCTTTAGGGCCGTGCACAGTGCCTTTTCTCTGTAGCCTGTCCCTCAACCAAAATAAACAGATTGCTTCCTGCTTCGTGTTTGGTGCAGACATCCACTGGTGTCCTTGTCAACTCAGAAGAGAAGTTACTTTGAAGTCCGTCAACCGTGAATCAGGGAGTTGCCTGAGGGCTTGGGTCTGAGTTTCATTTACTCCTCTGTGCCCAGCACTTAGCACAGTGCTGGGCTTGCGGAAGTGTGGGTTGCATAGAAGGGACATGGGGAAGGCCCAGGCACTGGAATGATGGCCCGGGTCAGCCAAGATCTTGTAGGAAGCATCTGAGAGGCGAGGTGGGGCTGGAGGGGCAGCCGAGGAAAGGAAGGAGCAGACACGGACGGTGCAGGTGTGCACAGGTTTACTGTTAGGTGCAGAGGAGGGAGGGCAGGTTTTGACAGGCCACGGGAGAAGAATCCACCTGAGGATTCCTCAGGAGATGAATCAACAACCTTCAGGGAGACTCCAAGAATTCTCTCATAGGAAGAAAATCCTGGGTCAGATGGATAAGGACGGTCAGCCTTCACAGGGTCTGATCCCAGGAAGGGTTGGGCCACCTCCCACCCAAAGGCCCAGGAAGTCTTTGGAAGGCTAGGAGAGCAGGGGAAAAGCTATTTGCTTATGCAAATCAGCCTTGGCTTCTTTAAGCCTTCGCCCTGGCCACAAGGTCTCCTGCAGAGCCTGTGGCAAGTGTGAATGTAACTTATCACCATTTTCTCCTTTTTTTGAGTCAACTAGACTGGCCTCTCTGACTCCTTCTAAAGAGGTCTCTGCTCCTGACTTTGGTCTTCTGGGGACAAGTCAGCAGGGTGGGTGTGTACTCCCTTAAAATCATACCCTCGTCCTCCTCACTCACGACACCCCTCCCTCCAAGCTGTAAGTTCTACATTTGTCTTCCCAAAGCTGTCCCTCTTCAGCCAACAAATAATAACAATGAGTGATGGCAGCAATAACAGCAGATGGCACTAAGAACCATCTCACGGGTTGGGAATTATGCCTTGAGGTCAGGTGTGTATATTGAAAACACTCCTGGGATTGTCCTCACCCGGAGTTACCCAGAGCACTGATTGCAAACACAGTCCATGTCCTCGGGGTGCTTACAGATTAATGATGGCTGCAATAGGATGAGTTGGGTGAAAAGTTTTGCTTACTTCTCCATCTCTGCCATTTATATTAAATGGTCCCATACACCCATTCCAAAAGGACAGACTGAATGCCCATGACATGCCAGGCCCCTTCCAGATGTTGGAGACTCACATTACCTGGGCACCATGGGACCTACTCCTAACCCGTAGAGGGGTGGCCATTGACCAGCAGGAAGTCTGAAGTTCGGCATAGCACGAAGAGTGTGGCTGTGGGACAGGGTATCCTGGGATTCTGGCTCTGCCACTCACTAGGTATATGGCTTCAAGCAAGTTCCTTCACCCCTCTGAGCCCAGTATTCTCAAGTTGGAAGACAGGGCTAACAATCCTTTATAAATTCTGAAGTTTCTGCTTCATTTTTGTACTTGACTGCAAGTCCTTCACATTTTCCTCCCCATCCAATCCATAAATATTCCCACAGCCCCAAAGCTCTGATTTTCTCCAATAGTCCTCCCCAGCCAACCGGATATGGCCTAAATTGTTTATCAGTCATTTGGGGCTGGCCACAATTCATTTATTCCACAAATATTTATTTCAGGCTTGCTCTGGGCCAGACCTGTGCTCGCACCAAGCACCCGCGGGTCTCTGCCTTCCTGCGGCTTACAGGATAGGGGGGATGAGGGAACCTGGTGTCTCCAATGTAGATCATTGAAGACCGAGATAAAGGGTGTGAAGGAGAAAGATCCTTAAAGCAGAGGGTCCTGGCCTGTCTGAGAGCCACAGAAGGCTTCCCAAGGAAATGATATTTGAGAGTCAGAAGGAGTTAATGAGGCAAAGTGGCGAAGAGAGGAAGAGGAAGAAGTAGTTAAGCAAATGAAATAACGTAGGAAAGACGCTGAGGCTAGGGCTCAGATAGCCAGGGAGGAAGTGGCCAAACATGAGCAGGGACAGAGGAGCAAGGTCAGGGCCATTGGGGCCTAGATGTTTTAGTCTTTAACCTGAAGGCCATGACAGCTATTCTGGGCTTTAAAGCAGAGTTGTAGTTGTAGAGGAGCGATTGGTGGAATATAAATACATTCTCAACACATCACCACAGATACAGTGTGGAGAAAGGAGAGGTAGGAAGAGAGAATGGCACAGAAGAAATCAATTAGGAATAGGCCAGGCCAGAGATGAGATCTGTTGGGTATGAAAGTCATGCTCAGGTGGGGAAAGGAATACAGATTTGAGAAGGATATGGAAGATGACATTGGTAGGAATTAGTGAGGAACTGGATATTGGGAGTGAGGGATAAGGCAGGGTCTTTGGTTTTTGCTGGTGCAACAGGAAAAAGCCAATGCCAGTCCCGGAGACAGGAATGCTACAGGTTTGGGGTGGGGAGAGAATGGGCAAGGTTGGGCAAAATGAGTTGCCTGTGAGCCACCCAATGGTGCCTGGTGAGAGGGCAGTCACAGGACCTGGTCGCCTTTAGTCTCATTGCTCAGTCTTTCCTCTCCCCCAAACCGTATTGTCAGGTCAGTCCATTTTAAGGGTCCTCCCTGGGGAATGAAAAGAGTCAGGTTCTTTCTCTGTTTTCAAGGACCTCACCGTTTAATAGAGGAGGGAGCATAATCTCCATTCTCTTTGATGAAGGGAGTGGAGGGGCTGTGGGAGCAGGGAAGGGCCCTCGGTTCTGCCTTGAGCCCAGGCTGGTTATCCAGGGCCACCTGTGGCCTGTGCGACTATTCCTCATTCCCAGCGGTTTCTTGCCACCATGCCTTGAGTATCTTTCCATTTCCACCTGTATATATATCCGATCCATTTTCAAAACCTGTCCCATTGTCACTATCTTCAAAGAGCCCCCCCGCCTTTTTTTCCTCCTCCCATTGCAGTCATCCTTTCCACGGTACCGCCAAAGCACACTGTGTACATCTGATTAACACTCTCGTCACACACAGCGTAGCAGCACAGTTACTTGTGTCCGAAGCTGGCGCCCCGCCAGCGGGAGCGATCTTCCAGGGCAGTGCTGGGATTCTTCCGTCCCCAGGGCTGGGCACAGCGGTGCCGCCCGCCGCAGTCGCAGTGCAGGCCAAGTAAGGGGGCGTTTTCTCTGCAGTCCTTGTAAATATTTGGGCATGCTCAGTGTCGCCCATTCGTCCCTTCCTGGAACCAGCCCCTCACCCACTTCTCCCCAACCAGATTCTGATGGTCCCACCCTTTAGAAGTCTTTAATAAGTCCTTCTCTCCTCCACTCCTTGACACCTCCCCGCCCCCCCTCCAATTTTTATTTAGCTGCCCACAGCAGCATCCGGCTTGGTTCTGCAAAGACATAGACCCAGGCTTTGTGCGGAAGCTGTCAGAGAGAGCCGGGGCTGCGGCTCCTTTAAGAGAGACCCACGAGAGGGCGTGGCCTGCGGAAAGCTGGACGAAAGTAGGCGCGGCTCCTTTAAGAAGCGGCCCGCAGCCTGCCAGGAGGCCCCGGCCGGCAGGCTGGGGTGCGGTCGCTCTGGGGGCTGCGGCACCATCCGGAGCGCCCCGATTCCTCGAAGCGGGGTGCGTCCGCTCTAATCAGGGTGCGAGGGGGAGAGAGGGGCGGGCGTTACATCAGCCACCACGTGTGGGCCTCTCCGCTGGTGCAGAGGCTGCGGTCCCGCCCCCGCCCCCGCCGTGGAAAAGTACCGCGGCCCAGGTACCCGCCCCTTCCCCGCCCCCGGGCCGGCCCCCGCCCTTCCCGGCCCTCTGGGCAAGCCCCCTCCCGCCCGCCCGCCCGGCCCCGGCCCCGGCCCCGGCCCGGCGGGTTCTCCCTCCGGCCTTGGCTTCGGGGTGCGGGGCGCCGGCTGGGGTGGCGCCCCAGGCTGCTAGGCCCCTGCCCTCACCTGTGGCCGCCCGAGCCCGCCCTGTGCGCGCCCAGAAGGAAGGCTGGGATGGGGAGGGCGCGGATTCTCCCCGGGGGAGCATCCCCCCAAGAGCGCCACGGCCCCAGCCCCTTTCCAAAGCCCACGACCGGGGGCGCGGACAAAGAGCCGGAGGAGAGCGCCGGACTCCCCGGCGCAGCAGCTTCCCGGGACCGGCGAGCCCCCGGGGACCCAGCCCGGGCCAGGAGGTGGGCGGGCGGGCAGATAGGGAGGCCAGCCGGCTGGAGGGGCCAGATAGGCAGCCAGGGTGGCGACAGGGCGAAGCGATGGAGCCGGCACTGGCAGGCGGGGCGCAGGCACGGCCTGCCGGTTCCGGGTCCCCCACGGATCCCCGGCGCGCAGACCCGGCAGCGCCCGGACGGACCGGGACTCGCTCCACTCGCTCCCCGCACCACCCGGCGCCGGCGGCCCCCGACCGAGCGGGCATCCGCACGCAGCGCCCCCACTCCGGCAGCACCCCCCCCCCCCAACACACACACACACACACACACACACACACACCGCCTTTCCTGCGGGCTTCAGCTCCTTGGTGACAGCCCAGACACCCAGACGCGCGCACCTACCCCGGCCTCCGTGGCGAGACGTACATCCCCGTGCGTGCACCCAAACTCTTACCCTCAGATGCCTGCAAGCATGCTCCATCACACCCCCCGCCACCCCCCTCTACACCCCACACATACACACCCCACACAGACACACACGCCGCACGCACACTGGCCCTGGGGCTCCATCCCGAGGAGCCACCCGACACCCCGATGGACAGCTGGACAGACGGAGGCGCGCGCCGCAGCGCCCCCTCCCCCGGCCCCCTTACCATGCTGCAGCCCCCGGCCCAGCGAGCTGGGTCCGCACCGCGCTGCGCCCAGGTGGCTTTCTTAAAGGGAAAGTTGCATCAGCCTCCGAGGCGTAGTGCCGCCCCGAGTGAGCCCGCCCGCCCCGCCGCGCTGCTGCTCGCGGCTCCTCCGGAGCTAGTTGTGTTTTGGTTTCGGGGAGGCGGGGGCCAAGACTTTGGTGAAAGTTTAGAGACTGAGAAGGCTTGGGAGAACCTAGCCAAGTCCCTCCCCTCCCAGAACAGCTCTCCTGGCTGCCCAACCTCCTCTCCCCCTTCTTCCTCCCCCCCCCCCCCCCTTCATCCCCACCCGTCCTGGCCGACTTCTCAGGCTCCTCCTCCCAGGGAATAAAATTACAAGTCACTCCAGCTTTCAGATGATTGATCCCCTCTCACCCCTGGGAGTGGGCTCCACAAAGGAGCCCCCTTCTCCGTCCCTGCCTGTCTTCCCTCCAGCTGGGGCCCTGGAAGGAAGCAGATGTCGTCCCCTTCGGGCGAGGCTGGAAGGAAGCCAGAAGACCTGGGCCACTTAGGGGGGCTGGGGCTCCAGTTAGCCTGCCAGCACCCCCCCTCCCCCCGCCTACTGCGCCTGCGTTTCCCCTAGAGAGGAGCCTGAGCGGATTCCATTCCCTTAGGAACAGCACCGCTGGGGGCGTGGCACAGCTGGGGTAAGGCCTTGGTCCTACTCAGAACTGGAGCTCTAGGGGGTAATCTTCTCCAGGGACCCTCCTTTTGACCACTGGGGAGACAGCCCAGGTTCCAAATTCCAGCTGAAGGAGACTTGGCCAAAAGGAGGTTTGGTGAGCCTCAGTTTCCTCCCCGAGAAATGGAGAGGATAAGCTGAGGTAATGATGCTTCTATGGGAAACACGTTGCTCCAGCCCTTCTGGGAGCCATGCTTGGCAGTGGTGGGAAGGGGCTCCACGTTTGCTTACCTCGTGAGAGCCACCAGCTGTCAGGGAGAAGGGCCAGTAAGTACTGGCTGTCAGAACAGTCCTTGAAGTCCCAGCCTCACCTGAGTACATTCTTCACTATTGTCTGTCCAGGAAACAGGTTTTATTTGTTCCCTGGGGACAATCAGCCTCTAAGCAGCTGAGGCACACATGCCAAACTTGTACAAGATCAATTGACAAAAAAAACAAAAACAAAAAAGAATTGACGAGGAAGAATCCACTTTATTAACCTAAGGATCAGAGGCACTGAGCAAGATAGCTGGTGTCAAGCACAGGCACTTCCTGCTGGCCGGACTCTCGGGTGTACGCCATAGACCTTCCCCCAGGGTTCTGCCATCTCAGAACTCAACCTATTCCGGTTGGAGACTTGATCAGATCCAAGAAGACAGGCAGGTCTCATAAGCAAGATTTTCATTTTTGCTTTCCGCCAAACCTGGCAGGTATAGGATGTTTAGGATTTGTATTCTAATGAATGAAATGTGGTGTCGTGTGTGAGTGTGAGTGTGAGTGTGTGTGTGTGTGTGTGTGTGTACATGTGTGTGTGTGCGCCCCACTTGCCGCTCCCGCTAGGACATACTAATACATTCTGCTTCTGGTGTCTCCCTCCCCCTTGTCAAAAAAGGGCCACCACACAGGGCAGGCAGGAAAGAGGCTGCTGGAAGAGGGCCCCCAAGCAGTGGAGTGGGGACAAGGCAGAAAGTGAGAGGAGGGGGCCGTGGCTTCCCTTCTCCCTTTGGCTGGGGGTGGGGGAGAGAGGAGGGACCCCTGTGTCAGTGAAGGGTCTGAAGACGTCACGGCCCAGGGAAAGTGTGGCTTTCCCACCCCGTACACGAGACACCCTACAAGGTGTGGTGTCTTGTGTCCCTTGTACAGGAGGCTGAAGGGCTATTCAGGATGCTCGGAGCCCTCAGGCCTGGCTGGGGGCGGGGTGCTCAGGATTCAGCCTTCTGAGGTCCTACCAGGAAGAGGGGAAGGCCGTCAGGGAGGCCTTGGCCCTGCGCCCTGCGTGGGGGAAAGAGAAGATTTCCCCTGGGCTGTTTGGGGAAGTTAGAGATGTTGCCCAAGGGTTTTTTTTTTTTTTTTTTTTTTTAGACACACAGATGACATAATAGAAAGTATTATTTGAGCACATATAGAAAGGCTGATACATGTGTACGTCTTGCCCATCTTGATCCAGATAGGGTCTCAGGATACCGCACAGCGAGTTGAATCCCGAGAAGCTTGTGAGAAAAGATCCCTAGCTTGAAAAGCTGCTTTCATGAGACAGGGATGAGAGCAGCTGTTTTTTTCCAACCAGAGAGAGAGGCCCCAGGGGAGGCGGGTCTGGGCTGAGCCCAGGTCAGAGCTGGGATGACCTTCATCCTTTGGACGTGGGCATTTGACTCCCAGGATGGGAAGGGTGTGTGGACAGAGTCGGGGGGATCAGGCCTGAGAACAGACAGGACTCCTGGGGTCAGATACGTGGCCTGCCTCTGCTGGGGCAGGGCGGCCAGAGAAAAGGCAGCTGGCTGGGCCCCACCCACTGTGGGCTGAGGCGTGCCTCAGGAACCTCCAGTTACAGCGCTGTTTCCTCGCCCAGCGTCAGATCCCCAGTGCTGGCTGGCTTCCTTGCTTGTCACCAGCCCGCAGGATCAAGGCCTCTGCCGGGACTCACCGAATCAGTGTAGGTGTGTGTCTGGTAGAAACAGGGATGAGGCCGGACGTGCACTGGAGGAGCTGGCAGCGCTGGCACCTTGGGGGAGGGTGCTGCGGGACCCTGTTGAGAGTTGGGGGAAGGTGCACATTGCTTGGAGTTGTAGTCTGTCCTGACCTTGGTCTCTACCTCCTTGGAGCCCCAGCAGCTAGAAAACACGATCGTCAATGGCCTGCCTGGGCTCTGCCATCTGGTTCTTTCTCCCTTGAACTTGGAGCAAGCACCGTGAGCAGCGCCTGGCACCTTCCCTCCTCTGTGCTGAGGCAGAGGAGCACGTTAGATTGGTTCTAGGTCCAAGAGCTCCTCCAGGGCTCCACGTGCCCCTTGAGACACTTTGTCGTGCTGTCTCTGGCCCTGATCCATGGGGCTCAGAGCAGAGCTCCAGGCTGGCGCTCAGTGGCTCCAGGGGAGTTAGGCATACAGGCTGGAAACACTGCCTTTGGCTCTCCCTGGGCTGGGGCGGCTGCGCTGATGTCCAGAGCATTTGGTGCCCAGGCACCTAAACACTGTAGAGCCCCCCTCAAGGCCGGAATTCCCAAATGACAAGGATGTCAAAGCTCCCCACACCATAGAAAACCCCCAAACTTAGAGTTCCCAATACCCAGAACCCCCGGTGCCCACACCCAGGGCCTAATTCCCAAGTTGCCCAACATCTAGACAACTCAATGTTCTTTTTAAAAAAAATATGTATTTTTATTGATTTCAAAGAGGAAGAGAGAGGAAGAGGGAAAGAGAAATAGAAACACCAACGATGAGAGAGACTCACTGACCAGCTAGCTGCCTCCTGCACAGCCCCTATTGGGGATTCAGCCCGCAACCCGGGCATGTGCCCTTGACCAGAATCAAACCTGGGACCCTTCCGTCCACAGGCCAACGCTCTATCCACTGAGCCAAACCATCCAGGGCCCGCTCAATGTTCTTACCACCCAGCTCTCAGAGAGACGATGATGTCCAATTCTCTGGGAAAGAGCCAGGAGGGGAAGGAGTGGTGCCCTGCCTGACCCAAGTCCCTTCCGTGACTGGTGCTACCTGGGGAATGGCCGTCCCTGCGGCTGGGGGCGGGGTGGAAGCAGCAGCAGTGTTTCTTTGGTGCTCCCTTTCTGGGTCTGCAGAGATCAAGAGGGACACCAGGAGGGGTGGGTTTTCCCCCAGGTTGAGGGCCTGTGTAACGAATGTCCATTTACTCACCGCCGGTGAGTGTGTGTTCACTGTGTGCTGGGCATTGTGCTCCTGTCTAGGAACACAATCATGACAGAAAAGGGGCTCCCGTTCTGTATGGATCATGCAACCATGTGCCTGCTGCTCGTGGCCCACGTGTGAGCGCGAACGGCTGCTGGCATGTGATGGTGTTGGTGTGCAGCTGGGAGCACAGACTATGAAGCAAGTTGACAGGTCAGAGTGGGTATGATCACCTCAATCTGGCCATCCTTATGACACTTCCCTGCTTCACTGCTTTCCCAAAAGATGGGATGCAAGGCCTTTTTTCCTTCAGACCCCCCAGGTTTGAGGTTCAAGTCTCTCTGTGGGGAGCAGCAGGCTGACCCCAGAGCTGCCTGCAGTAGGCCTGAGAGTGCTTCCCATGTCCCCGGTCCCCACCGGACGCAAAGCCTGTCTGGATTGGGAAGACGGGAAGAGTGGCGGCTAGAAGTGGAGCCGCCAACACCCAACATAGCCGTCCACCTGGGGAGGATCCTGTGACCCCGCTGCCCAGGCCATCCAACTCGGCCTGGTGACCTGGAGGCCGGGCTCCTGCCTGACTGCTTCCCCACATCCCATTCAGTAACCCCTTCAGATTTGAACGTGGGACAGAGCAATGATGTCACCACAGATTATGACATCATAGGGAATGATGACATCATAGGTATTGACAGCAGCCTTGGGCGCGGGTGGGATGATTGCCTGGGTGGGTGTGACTCCATCTGTTGGCACCTCCCCACAACTTCCAGCAGCTGGGGACAGCAGGGCTGGATAAGGGCCACGCTCAAGGGCCCTGCCTTATCTGTCTCCCCCACACGCCTGATCAGTCTGTTACCAGGGGTTGTCCCAGGGAGCAGGCGGGACCTGGCTGGAAGAAGGGAAAGGGTCAGCTGGGGGGCTTGGCTGAGCTCCAGGACAGACAGCCCAGGTCAGAGTCCTGGCAGAGCCCCA